TGGGCATACTCTAATCATACTTGTCCTTACTTTTAATCAACCTGGTTGCAAACATCAAGGAAGTGTTTTAAGAAAATATGAGCTCTGAGCAAAGGCTCTGGTGAACCTCAGCTGTGTGCAGAATACGAGAGCAGTGCATGATGAAACAAGAATTCGGTAAAAAGGAGAAAAATCCGTAGCTGAGGAAAGGAACATCTTTCCCATCAATGAAGTTTTTGAAAATAGAGCCCTTATTTAAGCAGCTGCTGCTTAGTCTATAAAGCTGTTTGTTGCAGTGACACTGTGACCTCCTTTGCATCATGGATTTGATTTTGAAACTCTATTAAAGTACTCTATTGCAAGGTGATCGTGACATGTCAGGTAAAACTTCAAGGGTTTTGGATTATCAGGAGATTTTAGTCAACAACAACAATCTTTGGGGCTTTCTAGCTCTTTAGTGTCCCTATTGATTCTTCTCAGACTGCGTAACATTTTCCAACCCCTGCACAGTTAGTGGATTACTGCTCGTATAAATAGATTTTGTAAAGTCACCACGTGATTGTGGCCATGCTGGGGGGAGCTACTGGGGCAGAGAATACTTGTCCTGGCTTCCCTTTTCCTCTTCAGCTGAATTAGAAATTCATATGTCAGTAAAGCTCTCCCTAATGCTGGTGTATGCATGTATAGTTAAAAAGTTAATTGAGAAACACAGTGAGGATGAAGTGGTTCAGCCAGTGACCACTTACTGGGGACTGAGTTGTCAGCTGGATTTGGACAGATCCTTGGAGTTTTGTAGCCCTTTTTTTTAAATGCCACATCCCATGTCAATGTGTTCTTAAATTAACTTTAGAAGTGCTTGGGAAAAATAATTATATTTTCTCTGCTTTCTGAAGGAAGGTCAGGGGGAATCTGACCCTGTGTTTGTGGGTGTGTAGGACTGATAGATTGGCTGTTTGGGCAGCACCTTGTCAAAACCACATCATGTGCTACTTGCTGCTGCCCACCTGGCCAACCACACATCACAGGTCTGAAGATGTGGAAGAAAGCTGGGGTTTCTGTAAATTGGGCACAGGTGAAATGGGAGGAAGCTGAGATATTGCCAAGAGAAGAGCGTATGAGTAGTACAGAAATGAAAGTAGGATATTGTGGGTTTATAGGACATAGAGGAGGAACTGAAGGCTTGAAGGGGGGGTTGAAGACATGGAGAAACTGTGAAGGGTAGCAGGTGGAAGGAAGAGGATAAGAACTGTGAAATTCTATCAGAGGGAGGGAGAAACCAGATTTCATTTATTCTGTTACCCTTAGACAAACTTGTTAAAACTTTGCCTTCTGGTACAGAGGTTAAAGTGGCAAATTTTAACCTGAAACTAGTATGTTAGCAGTTTCTTACCCAGGTTTCTCTGAAGCTTCAGCACAGCTATTGTCCAGCCTGGTTGCCATTCCAGCATTGCCAATCCTAACACCATTCAGTGATTTCTGTGGTTCAGTTTGCACCATTTTCCCCCATAGCAAAGGTATTGATGCAGCATCTGTCTTATCAGAAAGTGCTTTTATCACTCTGGGGACATCCAGGCAGTTGTCCCCACCTGGGTAAAAATGTGTACACAGAGCAGGGCATGCCAAGTATGTAGAGGGTTTGGACTATATTATAGAAGACCTAGCAGACTCTAAATAGTAAATAATAAAAATATCTAATAGAATAAATATCAGATCTTATGACAACAAAGAGTCAAACTTGCTTCGAAACCATTTTCTCTGGAGAGAGAGTGCCTTCCTTATCCCTGTAGGAAAATGCTTTCAGCCACTGACATTGGTGAAAGGGGTGCAGGAGGCAGCATGATCTGGGAAGCTGAGTCCCAGGAAAGGCTTTGATGGCTGTCTCCTCCCAAACCAATCCATGCACAGCAAAGGTTCCTGCACCCTGGCAGGGGGTGGGGGGCCTTGAGGGCCCCACAGCCCCACTCTCTGGGCAGCTGCTGCACCTCTGAGGCTTCTGTACTGGGGCTGAGGCATCTCAGATTTGGGCACTGTAGTTTTCAACATCAGTGTCTGGCCCCAGACCTGGACACTGAAATGCTTCATGAGCTAAATATTTCATCTCCTGCTGGCCTGTGCCTGGCAGTAGTCATTTCAAATGGATACTCTGCATTTAAAAAGACTGACTGCTTTGCTGGAGCCCAACATAATCAGCTGTCTCGCAAACTCCACAGCTAATAAAATATTAAATCTGTTTTGGCACCCAGAAATAAATACTGGCTCAAAATTCTCACCACATGTTCCTCCCTCTCCCTAACCCCTGTCCCCCCATCCCCACATTACACTGAGGTGCTGCTGCTCAGAGACAAGGCTTGTTGTCGGGTTGTGACACAGGAGAGTGGTGCAGCCATACCAGAGTATTCTCTGTTGGGGTGTAATGAAGTGATCAAATTGGACTCCAGCAGTGTGCTTGCAGCCTGTGGAATATCTGCCCCATGGCTTAAAGTAGCTTGGGGGGAGCTGCACTCACTTAAGAGCTGAAGTTAAAAGTGGAGCCTTGCATTAGAAACCAGGCTAGAATAAAAAAGAGCAGAACAGCCATAAAACATTACAAAGATATTCATAATTTACTTACAAAATTATTGTTTAAAAACTGTATATAGTTTAAAAATCACTGTTGTAATAATACTGCTGTGTTACTGTGAGGTAACTGTGCCTTTCCAGTACTCTGTCTTTCTTTAATTCTCAGGGCTAAATAGGAGTTTATTTGACTTTCTCCTCCAGCCACCTACAGGTGAACTAAAACAGTAATAAAACATCTGGCCAATATCTACCCAGGTCAGTGGGTCCCAAGTCAAAGCTCCTTGAAATCAAAGGGCATAGTGCCACCAGCTTAAATAGGCTTTGGGTTGAGCTCCTCAGACCTGCTCCTGCACACTTGCACGTGTGTGCTTAGATCCCAAGGGGCTTAATCCTGACTGGGGAACTCTGAATGTAAAAATCCCGCATGTGAGGAACTGGAGCTGATGTGCACCTGAGGTTGCCTTCCCTGGGAACTGCTGCTGGTGGGGAGGGTCAAGCTTTGTCCCCCTGTTGCACCTCAACACCAGAAACTCTCCCCTCAGTCTTTTAGAGGGAGTGTGATTCCTGTTAGAGCTGGATGAAATGATGCAGCAAACACAGTGTGTGCAAACCCTGTGCACAGCACTTGTCAGCAGAATGCTTTCTCTGGGCCCCAAAGGCAGCAATTAGTAAAATTTGTGGGTTTGTAATTCACCAGTGGAGTGTTTACAAGTACTGAGTGTGATATTGTGTGCTGTTGAAAAGTCATGACAACAGCTGTAAGCAGTGATCCTTTTGTACAAGGAACTGCTGGATTTTGTCTGTGGAAGTGTACAGGGGTGGCTGCCTGCTCCCTGCCCCCAGCTCTTTGTGCTGGGGAGGAGGGCTTGGGGTTTGCCAAGCAGTAGAGACCAGAGGGATGTGGTTCCTATTTTCCGTGCCTGTATAGCCTCTGGCTCTCCTGGCTTCGTGCAGTCCCTCTGGGACATGATCACAGCACTGCAATGATCTGGGTCACAAATCTGTGACCCAGCAAGTACATTTACAGTAGCGTTTTTCTTCACTGATGTTACCAGTGTAGTGGGGTTTTTTTGGCTTAGAAAACGCCGCAAGAAATTCCTTGGCTGGCCAATGACTGACTGGAAATACATTAGAAACCTGCTTGACAATTACAAACCTGCTTGGCAATAATCACTGAGGTGCTGAGGTGTGTCCAGAGAAGGGCAACAGAACTGTTGAAGGGTCTAGAAAGTAAGTCATATGAGGAATAGCTGAGGGAGCTGGAGTTGTTCACTCTGGAGAAAAGGAGGCTCAAGGGAGACTACCTGAAAAGACGTTTGTAGCAAGATGGGTTGGTCTCTTCTCCCAAGTAACAGGAATAGAACAAGAGGAAATGGCCTCAAGTTGCGCCAGGGGAGGTTTAGGTTGGATGTTATTTTAGCTTGCTCAGCTCCTTCATTCTGGAAGCTTTCTTTTGGGGTGTGGACATTTCTTAAAAAGCTTTGGTATAATTAATATTTTTCTGTGGTTGTACATTATTTGATGCTGCCTGACAGGGTAAAATCAGAGTAGCATCACCCAGGCCTCACCCAAAGCCTTTCCCACTGTTTCCTTCACTTTAACCCTCACCAGTCCTTATGTGCTCACCACACTGTGGCACCTCAGTGCTGGCACAGGGCTGAGTGGAACATGGGATTGCGATGGCCCTAAGCTCTTATATGGCAACTCCATCCTTTGAACAGGCTTCCCCACATTTCACAGAATCATTAGGGTTGGAAGGGACCTCTGGAGATCATCCAGTCCAATCCCCCTCCGAAGGCAAGGTCACCTAGAGCAGGTGACACAGAACATGTCCAGGTGGGGTTTGAATGTCTCCAGAGAGGGAGACTCCAAACCCTCCCTGGGCAGCTGTTCCGTTGCTCTGCCGCCCTCAGTGTAAAGAAGTTCTTCCTCATATTGAGGTGAAACTTCTGTTTTAGTTTATGGCCATTGCTCCTCATCCTGTCGCTGGGCACCACAAGAAAGAGTCTGGCATCATCCTCTTGGCAACCAACTTTGAGATATTTAGATGCATTAATGAGATCCCCTCTCAGTCTTCTCTTGACTGATCTCACAGTCTCTCCTCACAAGAGACATGCTCCAGTAGCTCCTCGTCTTTCTCGTACTGAGGAGCCCAGAACTGGACACAGCGCTCCAGATGTGCCTCACTAGGGCTGAGTAGAGGGGGAGGAGGATTTAAAGGAGGAGAAGCCAATGAGAGGCGGCTTTCCTGCCTGGGTGATTTTTTTCTTTCCCCCCCCTTTTTTCCCCTCATTTTAAATGGCAGGGCCCATCGCTGCGCTGAGGCGGCGCCGGGGCCGGGGCGGAGGGATGCGGCCGGGGTGGGGACAGCGGGGACCGTGCGGGGCGGGGCGGCAGGTGCCGGGCCGGGGCTCGGCGGCGCTCCCGCCCCTGCGCGCCCCGCCCGGAGCCGCCGCCGCCCCGGGGAGGGCGGGGAGCGCCCGGCGGAGCGGCGGGAGCGGCGTGAGCGGCGGCGGGCGCGGGGGGCCCTCCCGGCGCGACCCGTGCGAGCGCCGCGGGGCCGGGCGGGGGTCGGGGGGTGCTGCCAGCATGGGCTCTGACGGTGGGTTTGCGTCTTTGCCGTTCAGGAACAGGAGCCTGGAGGAGGCGGCGGCGTCGGCGGGACGAGGGCCGGACCCCGCGGGCACCTCCGGAGGAAGGGGCGGCCGGGGATCGTGCTGGCGGGGCCACGCTTGCAGCATGCTGCCCGCACGGACACCGCCCCGGCGCGCCGGTAGGTGCGCGGCTCCATCGCTCGGGGCCGCGGTCCTGCGGGCACCGGGGGAGCCGGGAGGGGAGGGATGCGCCCGCCGGCGGGGCGAGCCGTGGCCGCGGGCACGACCGGCCTGCAGCCTCCTGAGCTGTGGAGGAGACGAAGGAGAGCCGGGCTTTGAGGTGGGGTTTTTCGGGACAGGCGGCGGTCCTGCCTTTACTCCTCCCATCATCTCGTGGTGAGGCTGCCGGCCACGGAGTCCTCGAAACTGAGCTGCTCCAGTGGGGCGCCCGTAGGAATTCCTGGGGTGAGGTGGCACTGTGGACATCAGTGGGGATGATGCAGAGTGGGAAGGTAAACGCCGTGGCAGGTCCTCTCCAAGCTGCGTTCCTGCTGCAGGGAAGACGTGACACTTGTGTATTTGCTGGCCGAGGTGGTGTGAGGGTTTGTCAGCCCCTGCCTGTTCTGCCACGAATACCTTTAATAAGCTTCAGCACAAACCCATACAGGGCAGTTCGCCTTCATCTGGCACGTTATAAAATGCAGTTTTAGCAGTGTAAGATCTGCCACGGCAAAAATTGTAAAACATTTTAAAATGTCATATGCTTTCTCATAGTTCAGGAAGTAGGAGTCCAAATTAGGGTCCTAAATATAGGAATTAAAAAAAAAAAAAAAGGTAAAAAAAGAGGGATTTATACTGTAGCCTTAACAAAGTGGCATTTTTAACCTTCAAGTACATACAAATTAGTTTTCTTCTGAACATTATGTTCTGCTGAGCACATTCTTGCTTTGAAATCATCTTGGTTTGTACAAGTTGCACAAGGGGTTGGGTAGAGCCTGGTGATGCTCGTGGCCCTGGGGACAAGGTGTTTTCTATGGGCAGGGCCCTGGGGAGAGCCGGCCGTGCTGCCAGGCTGTGCGGGGCACGACTGCCTCGCCTGGCTGGCGGCCTCCCTGCGTCCCAGGCGCGAAGGCGGCGACTGCTACAAGTAGGAGCTGGCACGTTTGGAGGGGTGAAATTCAAGGAAACAAATACCGGGGGAGAGCCGTGAGACAGAGTGATTTTTAAGGCTGACATAGTTCTTTGTTGCAATTCTGGGCAGCTTTTGTACAGCTGGAGCATCTGGTTGTTACCTTGTCACTTTGTTCTCTTACTCCTCGGTTGATTTCTGCCAATCAATAGTTATGATTTTAAAACTGGAGCTGTGTTTTCTTGCACCTTCCTGTGTGAGACGTGGAAAAATGGCTTTCCCGTTGCTCTCCTAAGTGTGATTTGCCCTTTTACAGTTGGCTTCTGGAGACTAAAGAACAGAATGGGGTTCTGTGCTGCCTTTCTTGTGCTTTTCTCTGGCTGATCTTGGGCACATCCTGGCTGTCTCCCTCCTTCTGACTTTCATTTGTGTTAATCCAGCAGAGCCTTTGCTTTCCTAAGGGCATCACAAAGCAAGCCAGAGTACCTCATTCATACCTTATGGTCTGCAGCTCCATATGGTTGTAGTTGAATCTTGTGACAGCTACTACAATAAAGCACGACCCTGTCAGACTGAGATACCGATCCACTGTTTTAGCTGCTGCTGCTGCTGCTCATCAGTTCTTGCTGGCAGGATCCCCAGGCTGGGCAGCAGCCAGTGATAGCAGCAGGAGGGGCTTTCTTGCTTTAAGGATTTGTGCATCCCTCATTGTCGTCTGCAGCGCTCTGTCTCTGCCTGGCACCTGTGGAGGACAGTAATGCACCTTTACAAACAAGGCTAGATCCTAAGCTGTAGCTTGGTGTTGTAATGTATTCCTGAAGAGGACTGTTAATAGGTAGGCTGTGACTCCACGATTGATTTGTTGGGATGGAAGTTGTACAATGTATATAGAGGAAAATCATTCAAAACAGTGTTACGGCATCGTAATAAACCGAGAGGCCACTTTGTTTGGACCCAGTGCCATGCCTTAGAGCAGTCTAACCTCAGGGTGGGGCTTGGCCAGAGTCTCTGACACCTTTGGTGGTACACCTTGCATTTTCCCCTGCTGGGGGGGAATGTTTGTGGGGATGGTCTTCAGACTGTGGATTTGCAGCTACTACAGATGGGGGTGGGGGGATGATAATTGCAAGAACTGTGGGCTTTGCTGAAAGATGTGTTGAACCTGTATCCTTCCATGTTATGTAGGGCAAGGAAACAGCTGTGCATCTACATCAAAAACTTTATGTCCATTTCTGATATTTTGTTTCTGTTCATTCACCAGTTTTGAGCATTATTTTGTATTTGGGTTCTTGGAGAGTTTTGGATCTTCTCTATAACTAGTAGCTTTCCCTTCCATAGGCATTCCTCTATAGTTTGTGTAGTTGGGTTCCTTTAGTCTTGGCTAAGCTTCCTGCAGATGGGGTTTCTGAGAAACTCTGCATCTTCTTCATGCCCTTTCTTCTATAGCCTTGCTGTGTGCTTGCTAAGGAAATCCACTGGTTTGCTTTTACCCATTTAGAGAACAGGCTTTCATCAACAGTGGGCATCCTGCTCTTCTTCACAGAGGGGTAGGTTAAATTAATGTTCTTTCTTGTCTGTGGTCTGGTGGAGTCTGTAGTAGTAAAGGTTTGCTTACCTGTAGTCTGATACACTGGGGAAAAAAACCACCCAGCATGGAAAAATCAAACAGAATTAGTACTTTGTAAGTACTTCTGGCCAAATTCGGACATAATAGTAGCATATACGGTTGTTTGGACAAGCAGCTTAGTTAAAACATGAGCAGAACCCGTAAGAAGTTTTCAGCATCCTCTTCCCCTCTTGCCTTCAGGCTGCTCTGAGCTCTGTGCAGTTCTGGTGAATAAACCGCTGCACTGGAGGGAGGAGGGAGGATTTCAGGACAGGCTGACTGGGTACAGTTTTACTTTCATGAAATTAGACAGCTACCAAGCACAGAGTGTTCCTTGCTTTTAACAAGACTTCTTTTTCCTGGATGAAAAATAACATTGTGGCTGCTGAGGGCTGTACCTGCTGGCATTGCTGTTCTCTGAACTACTGGTATTTTCACCCAAAGGTTTCTTTTGGTACTTCATCTTTGCTTGCTACTTCCCAAAGCTTGGGTGAGATTGCCAGAACAGTGCAGAAAGCACTTGTTTTTGTTCCTGGCTTCTGTGATTGTGTGTCTGGTGGGGGAGGCTGGGTGGGATGGGATTTTTTTTTTTATTTTGTGGGGGGTTTGCCTTTTTTTTTTAAAGTCAGTACTTGTTTTAGGCTTTCAGAGTTTGTCAGCATAAAGACTCATATCAACACAGCTGTACTGTTTAACAGCAAAAAACCCCATTCCCACTGTGCATGTAAATCATAAAGTGAAGTAAGAAGAAACATTTTCCTCTCTCTTGTTTTTCCCTCTAATTTTGAGATTTTCATGTTCCTTAAATGCATTGCTTAAGTGCTTGAGAGATGAAATGTGACATGGAAATTGCCTCCATTAAGTAACTCAGTGTTCTGACTGAGAAAGGAGTTTGTAGACAGGTGGGAGTTGATCTCTTCTCCCAGGTAACAAGCTGTAGGTCCTGAGGAAATGACCTCAAATTGTGCCTGGAGAGGTTCAAGTTGGATATTAGGAAAGATTCTTCACTGAAAGGGTGGTCAGGCATTGGAACAGGCTGCCCAGGGAAGTGGTGGAGTCACCAGCCCTGGAGGTATTTAAAAGTCATGGAGATGTGGCCCATAGGGATGTTTTAGTGGTGGACGTGGCAGTGCTGGGTTAACGGTTGGACTCAACCTGAAAGGTCTTTTCCAACCAAAATGATTCTATGATTCTGTGATCAACTGTGCTCTTATTGAAAAGCCTTTTAAAGTAAACTAGAGGTAGTGCCTGATTTTGAAAAGCAACTGTGTAATTTCTCCATTCACTTATAAACTGGCTTAAAAGCCTGGAAAACCTTTATCAGTTCTGGACATGAAGGGGAAAAAACCCAAGCCTTTGAAATTCCAGCACGTATCCTGAGACAGATAACCAGGAGACTTTCACTTACATGCTAATCCTGCACAGCAGTTGTTTGTGGTTGCTGCATCCAGCCCTTTCCAATCTGCAGCTCTTATCTCTTGTTGGCACTAAGCAGCATGAGAGGGAGGGGAGAGCCCTGTGAGGAATGAGGGCTCTATTTTTGCTTTTCATTGCCTGAGTTGTTTTGGGATATTTGGATATTTCAGTGATTGCCTGAGGTAGCTGCATCTTCAGTATTGCGCTTGTCTTAAAATAACTGTAGCTTTTTTAAACTTCATTTTCCTATGATTAGAAGGAGTTGGTATAGTAAATGTTGTACAGTGCGTCTCCTGTAGGATTTGCAGGAAGCTGGATGTTAAGGAGAGGCAGGACTGAAAGCTGGTGGGTTGGACTGCCCTGGGAGCCCCTGCCTGGGGCTGCTCTGCACGGGGAGCCTCTGAGTCCTGCAGCGACGGAGGCGACGCTGTGCACGGAGGGAGTGATTCATCCCTCTGCCATTTGTGTGCCGCTGCTCTGTTCAGAGCTGCAGAATATCCAAAGGCACAGCACCGTGTGTGCTCCCAAGTAACAGCCCACCTTGCTAGGGAGAGGCAGGAATAGGGTGTTCTGGGGTTCTGTTTCTCTCCACTATCGCATGGGGGACGTGAATACTGAATGCGATTGGGTGCAGTTCAGAGGTGTGGATGCCTAAGTGCTGCTTGGTTCACCTCTGCTGGTGGGTCAGCTGGGTCACCTGTCCAAATTCAAAGTTTGAATATCTCTGTTGCAGAGTAATGTTTGTTGTCTCCGTGCTAATAGCAGCACTGGGATTATCTGAATGTTCTCCCTGTGTGCTTGGACAGTCAAGGTCCAGGTCTCAGCAGAAGCTCTGAGAGGGAGAAGGGAATGCAGGAGAGAACTTTTAGGCTTAGGCAAAAGATGGGGCACATTACCCTTCCTGTATCCTTGCTGAAGTCATCCTTAACTGGATTTGCTGTGAAAGGAGGTTGGCATCCTGCATATGGTCAGGAGCCACCTGCCCGAGGAGTGGCCCCACTCTGCGCCCGGGATTAGGTGCTGTACACAAATTGTTGCAGCCTGTCATTCAATCTAATTTATTAAGTGCTGTATCATCGTTTTACCTTTGTCAAAGTCAAGTTCTGTATATGAGAAAAGGCAAACAGACTTCTGCAAGGCCAGCACTACAGATTCACAGCTCTGTGATAACATGTACCTCTGACATCTTGGCGAGTGCTAAGTTCTGTTTCTGGGTTCCCTTTGCAGAGTCCCAGAAGTGAAGGTGTCTGTGCTCTACTGGGGACAAGGGGGACAACCCATTAGAAGCAGACGTGGGTTTGGTAAGCAGCACATTGAGCTTCTCTTGTGGATACCGAGGGAAAAACTCAGAGGGAACTGCCTGGAAGAGGGTTACAAGGATGTAAAGGTTTGGGAAGTGAGAAGCTTGGCTCTGTCACAGCAGAGATTACTTGCTGTCTTCAGCTGGGCAAAGCTGCACTAAGCTCTTCTGAAAAGTATGACTGATTTTTAATCTGGTGACTGCTGTAACAGAAAGTGTTACAGAAAGCAATTCCTTGCAGTATAGTATTGAACTTCAGGATTTTTTCCAAGGTTCTGGAGGATGGAAAACCTTTAAATGGTAGCAGGAACTTATTTGCCTGGGATAGCTAGAGATGTTGCATAACAGCAAAACTCTTTCCCTTTTGCCTGCCTTCATCATATGCAGTTGTATTGAAGAGGGCAGGTGAAACTCTTATTTTTTTGATAGCTCACGTTTAGCCTTTTGTAATTATTTTTATTGATTATTTTAATACCTTAAGAAGTCTTATTTGTTTAATACAATGGCGTTGCTATCAGTGCTTTTTTTCCTGTATTTTATATCACCTAATAGTGAATTGCACTCTTTCACCATTGTTTTGTTTCCTTCAGTAGGTTAGAAATGAACTTACCTTGGCAGGAAGCACTTGGCCAGGCTGGCAGAGACAGTGCTTAAGCCCTCACATACCAGGTGAGTTCAGCTATGTGGTACCTACCACTCCCTCAATATTTTCTCTCTCCTTGTATTACCACAGGGCATACATGTAGTAAATAACATCACAGTGAAACAACACCTGACCTTAAAGTAATACACCGTGTTTGTTGTCTGAAGTACTTAAAAACATTTTGACTGTATGTCGACTGAAATTGAGCACGCCCGGGAGCCTGTGTTTTTTGGATAAACTAATTCAACATTTCACTTACTGAAAAGTCGGTCTTTAAAAAGAGGAGATGTGTTAAGGTTTGTGATGGTGCTGTTCTAACTGCCAGTCGAGGGTGTAGCAGAGCAGACTGAGCTCCCTGACCTCTGCCTCCAGCTTGTCATGTGCAGAACTGTGTCTGCAGAGATTTTGGCTTGAGCATCGAACCAGTGGTTTCTGAGACACAACTGGCAACACCTTAAAGCTTGGACACTGAAAGAAACGGGCTCCTATCAGACAATTTTGCCTTGTGCAGTTACTGAATGAAACATCGTGCTGGAAGTAAACTGAACTGGTTTACTTTGGTTTCCTTTTTTTCCCTCTGAGGGTGTGAGCTTTGTGAGGAAAGGTAGAGATGTTAAAATCCCTGTCAGAACACCCTGGAGATGAGATTGAGGCAGAGAGGATTTAAACAGCTCTTCACCACGTGTGTGCAAGCAATGGTTGTCAGAAAAACAAGGAAGCAGTCAGAAGGTTGAGGGCAGCTTCATTTGCAATCATTTCTGTCAAAAATTATTAACTCCAGTAGAGCAGGCAAACTATAAAACTTCCTGCAGCAACTTGGAAAGTACTGAGCTCTATAAATAATGGAATCAGCAACAGGCAAGGATTTAAACTAGGGTCGATAACTTTGCTTTTAAGTTAAACTGTCTACAAGCTTTATAGCCCACTCTTTCCTCTGTGTAGGACAGTCACACAAACATTTGGTTTAGCCCAAATGAAAAGGCAGAGGTAAGAGGGTGGGAACAGAGGTAAATCCTGCAGAGGAAGATGCTGACCTTAGGGAATTTCTCCCTACCTCACATTCCCTCCTTTCCTCTAGACACTGACTCATCTGCTGGTGTCCCCTAACAGAGATCTCCAGTTGTAGGAGGGAAACATTAAAGCAATGATAAAATACTAACTACAGCTGGCTGCTGTTTATCAGACCTCCTTGAAAAAGCACCCCAAAAAAAGAAGAAAAAAAGAAAGAATAACACATAAGAGACCATGGCTCCAAACTTGGACTATTCAGATTTGGATTTTTTCATCTATTTTAAGTAAAGTGTCACGGATAAACTCTGATAACAATAAGCTGTTACCAGTAATGTAGTGAGAAGGAATTGGGCAGCACACCCATGTCCCTCCCAGTGAAGCTGTGTATCACCTTGGCTGGGTCAAGACTGCAGCTGACAGGTAGCAGCAGTGCTGGGTTGTAGCTGCTGTTAGTGATTCTTTGCCATGTTGTAGACTTCTAACTACCTATTTATCCAGAAGAGCGAGTGGAAGTTATTTTTATTAATGTTTTATTAATGGTAAATATTGAAATTAGACATACACAAGATATTACTATTAGGAAGTTTTGAATTATTCAGGTATCCGAAGTGCTTTCAGGTTCTCTTTGGTGTCTGGTTTGCTCAGTGTATGTGGTGGATAGACATGGGTACAAAGCTCATGGGTTTTTATAAGTGTCCATAGGGATAAATGGAGTTGCTTGTGCAGTGAAGGGAATCCTGCCTTTTACTTGTCTAATGACAAGTTATTAACCCTGCCTTTTATTCGTTTAATGACAAGTTATTACAATAAAAATCTCACTGACAGCTTAGTTCTCCTCCGTGTTGGGTAAAACCACGAATCCTGGCATGGTTTATGTTACAGGCTTGTTAACTGTGCTGCCTCCTCTAAAACACACTGGCATGTGCTGCAGCATCTCAGTAGGCACAAAAGAAACTTATTGAACTTTAATGAAGTGTTTTACAAACGTTCCTCTACAACACTGAAATATTCTGATACAAAGCTAAAGGTATTAAAGCACTTGTAGGGACTTTGTGGTTTCAGAAGCCCTTTAGGTCTGACTTTCTGCCAGGAACACCATCCACCCCTTCTGTGTGCTGGCACTTCAGCCCTACAGACAGGTAGTGAAGGTTTTTATGAACTAGCAAAAAGGAGGAGAGGAGCTTGTCCCAAGGAGACTGCTTCTCCTGAGTCAGCTACTGGACTGGGTAAGTCCCGTCCTACCTGTGAAGGACCATTTGCCTGCAAATGGGATTGATTCCTCTGCAAATATTTGCCTGTGGTCAGGTTACTGGACTGGAGGCTCTATTTCCTCCAGTGTATAAAGGATATAAATAAGGCTTAACATCTTTGCCATGGTTATATTTTCAAAGGCTATTTACAAAAAAATCTTTAACTTTGGCTGACCTTAGTACAACGTCATCGGGTGAAGCTGTAGGGAACAGTTGGTTTCTGTGCAGCACAGTCTTTATTTTGGCTGGCAGTCTGTTAACTCTGATAAGTGGGTAAGTACATGCCAAGCAAAGTCAGGCATATTGTGAGATTCTGCTTTGCCTGTGGAGAGAAAACAGCCCGAGAAACAGCTTTGTAGGCTGGTAAACAGAAACATATACCAGAATTCGGAGTGGGCCAGTTCTGGATCTTGAGCAGTTCAAAAGAACCCTGTCAGGTGTTTTGTTGGTCACTTTCCTTTCTCCAGATGTAGAGTTGTCCTGCTTTAGTGAGAACGGTGCTCTGGCTCTGCTGGACCTGCCTTGATCTCAGCAGGCTGCTGCTGCTTTCCCTGACCTCTCCAGGGGAAAAAAGGAAAACAGCTCTTGTTCCTTGTGAATAGCGTCTGGTGGCTGTTGTGCTTGAGCCTCCTTGAGCAACAGCAGAATGACACTGGGCATTAGTGTCACCCTGCCCAAAGGGCGTGTGATGGCCACGACACAAGGCTCTGGTTATGCTGGTTGTGTGGTGCTTCTGTGGGGTGGTTTTGGTGTTTATTTCCTGCGGCAGCAGCAGCCCCTGGAGTTAAACACATTCGTTTGCAACTTCAGGAAAAGAGCAATGCATTGTCAGCTTGGAAGAAACTGACTTTATTTTTTTCCTAAGACCTTTTACATTCCTAGATGGCTTCCATCCTGTACTGGGAGTTGCATTCAAAGGCAGCTTGAATTCAGGTCAAACTTTCCCTGCGTGTAGTAGATGGATGTTGCTGATAAAAACATTTTACGCACACTGTGCAGAGATTTATTTAAGCTGCTTCTACAGGCATCTGTAGTGAATTTAGCTTTCCTTGGAGCTCAATGACAGTGGTAAACTATTTATTGCCTTTCTATGAAACGCTATTTTGACAGATTTCTCCAGAAGCACAAAAGGAGATGTTCTGTTCTTTGAAAATAACTGGAGCCACTGGCAAGAAGCAGCAGCACTGCATCAAACAAGGAAAGCATTTCCAGGTTATCAGAACATGCTGTTGAACTGAATTTTGCAGCTGCGTTTTCCAATGTACCATGGGATGCATCAAATCCAAGGCTGCCTGTCAAGGTTCGAAGGCTATCCCGGATGAAAAGATCGGGAGAGGCACCGAAGGATGCACTGGGGAGAAATCCTCTCTGATAGCAGTGAAGGTGGACGAGAAGGGTCCCTCGAGCACCATAGTGCTGGACTACGCGCAGCGCCTGTCCCGGGAGATCCTGGAGCAGGCGGTGAAGCAGTGGGCAGTGACGGAGAGCAAGTACAGCGACATCCCCTTCATCGAGAGCGACGTGCCCTGAGCCCCTGAGCCCCTGAGCCCCTGAGCCCCTGAGCCCCTGAGCCTGGCAAGGACCGGCCCCAGGGAGCGGCCTGGCCTGTCTGTGCAGCAGTTTGTACGTGGTACTGGTGCAAATAAAGCACAATCAGCTGTGGTTTGAGGATATTGCCACTGCACGGATGGGTTTGCAAGGAGAGGCTGAAAAAAGTTTGCCTTTTAACCTATACTGCTAACAAACTAATTGGATCACAGTAGAATCTGTTCATCAAGTGTCATTTGTTATCAGCTGTATGTTGAGTATATTCTGTCTTTGTATGTGTTGGATGTGACCAGAAATTACAGTTAAAAAGAAGATGAGAGGAACGTGGCTGCCCTCCACCTGTACAAGCAGTGCCACAGAGGCCCCAGCAACACTGAGTGACAAAGTGTGGGTTATTTCTAGGTACTGCATAAAAGATCAGTGGCCTGTTAGCAGGTGAGAAGAACTCTCTGTGCTTGGTACATTTGTCTGCATTTTGCTAAAGTGAGACCAAGGTCTGCATGTAGCAAAGGTAACTGCTGCCATAAATTTTACTTTGATTCTTTGACCTGGCTAAATCTATAATACCACAAAATAATGAAGGTGATGAGAAGCATTTTATAAAACCAAGTGGTATTCAGGGAACCGTATGGATGATAAGACTATTCACTTTCCATTCTGAGGTGAACCAGTGAGAAACATGACAGTATTGACAAAACAGTGCATTATAATTAACAGATGCTTCTGTAAATGCATGAAAGCTAGTCTGTCAAATCCTGCAGTAAGGTAGGTTGATGACATCTGGTCACTGTGTTCAGACCAAAGCTATTTGGTTTTTTGGTTTGGGGGTTTGGGGTTTTGTTTAGGTTTATTTTCATGTTAGGGTGCTGGTTCGGGCGGGATTTGGTTTTGTTGTTTCACTGTAACCCAGACAGGTGTGCAAAAACTACTGATGTTAACTAGTGAAATGAACCTTCAAAGGTGTGACAGTGTTTTAGGACAACTTGTTTCATGGGAACTATGGCTGTGTCACACTAAAATTCCTCTCTAAAGTAGCACCTGTGGGACAGGACACCTTCCTGCAGCTTCTGTGGGCTCTTGCTCATCTGTTGGAAAATCTGTGTATGGTGGTGCCAGTAAGAGCCACAGGAGCCCAGACCCTGAGCAGTGCCCTGAATGCACTGAGTTAGTGACTAAGCCTTAGGCCCAAAGTTCAAGGGCTGCATTCTTCACCCATTTTATCTGGCTTTTATCCACACACTGCTCCCTGCTTCCCCAGGACTCGCAGCTTGACCCACTGTGCTCATAACTAGTGTTTGACAGATCAGGAATGGGATGGATTGTATTAATCTTAAAGGGACATTGTTGCAAAGTGAAGGCCTTGTAAACAGCTCGGTGTTTTACCACCTGTTTGTTCCTTTTTTTCTGTGATGGCCAGTTTAAAAGACATAGTTCTTTTTCCTAGATCAAAGTGCTTCCCATTTTATGTTTTCATTTTATAGAGAAATGCTTTCCATACTGGCAAAAGCTGTTACTATTTTTAAAAGGTACACATAGTTCTAGTGAATGATACAAGGCATGATTTTTCAAGCAATGGGAAGCAAGCAGAGAGAGGACCATGTCAACTGTTATTTTTAGCTTATTCTCAGACATAAGACAGTCTATGAATTGAGCTGTTTTGCAAACATTGAGACACAAACTTAGTTATTTTAAATCCACCTATATTGGGAAGTGGTTTTATCAAGAGTAAAGAGTGAAAAATGCTTATGGCACAGCACAAGACTGCTACTAACTCCCAGTGACCAGACTGGACCATGCTATTAAGACTGTTCTCAGCTTTTGCTGAAAAAGGGAACAAAATCGGCTTATGCTGTAATGTCCTCTTTGAAGTAACATAGTTGTCTTCAAAGCCATATGCAAAGTGGGACTAAGGTATTATGGCTCACTTAAATTCTACTGCTAATAGTGATGTTCCTTGAAATTCTACAGCATAGAAAACATTAGATCATACCCTGTGTTTGCTCTGTCTAAAAAACCTCTGTGTATTAGGGTGAATTAGAAAGCAAAGCCAAAACACTGACCAGGTCAGTACATATCAGTTGTGCATTGTTTAACCACAGTATTAAAGATTCCTATTCTTACTATAGCTAAAACAAAGCTTTATTACAGAAAAAGGCCAACCACTCTAACATGAGTCTTGACTCAAGAATGTTAACACAGCTAGCCACAGTAATTAAAAAAAAATAAATCCCAAGCTCCACAGCCATTCTTGGCCAGGCAGGTGAACAGCAGATAAAAAACTGCACTCCCTTTCAGAGTAAAATTCAGTGTATCTGCCTCGACCCTGGTGCAGACACCTTGGTGGCTGCCATGGGGAGTTGGGTGTTGCAGTGCTTTGCTGTTGCCATGTCTCAAATCCTTCCTTTGGATGTAGCCTTAGCATCTGACACTCTTCGGGAATATCAGGTGCACTTCTGAAAGCAGCTTCTTCCTTGGCAGGCTGCCACTGCACGGTCCAACAGCAGGCACAACGATAAACCAGCCTGAAGTTACATCACGGCACCCATTCTGATAAATACTCAGAATTTCCCCAAAGGAGAAAGTTACCCAAGTGTAATTAAACATGCACCATAGACTGCTTCCATTTGGACAGCCTGCTGTGTGGGATGGTGGCTGTGCTGCTTGGTGGGTCCAGCCAGTCACTTACTTACCTGCAGCCCCCAGCCTCGTCTTCCCTCATTAATGCCTGAAGATTACAGCAGCTTCAGTATGGCCTGAAGTGCAATTCCAGCTGGTTTATGATGCTTTCCATGACACTGGCACTTCAGGGAAAGCATGCAGCAAATGGAAAGCAAACAAGCTTGCAAACAACAGGGAGGCAGCTTCTCACCAGGAAAATCATCTCTTTTACAAGATGCTGTCCTTATAAATAATGCACTTATCCTTAATAAAAAATAAATAACACCTGTTCAGTACCACAGTCCGGTGAGACATCGAAGGAGATCCCTTTCCAGAGCCCTGCTGTACATTCAATAGGCACAATACTAATACATAATAAAAATGAAGACTTCTTTACCTAAATAATACTACGACTGTTTACTTACCATTAGATTGTGCTAAGCTGTGCTACAGTTTTATAAAGTTTATAATCCCATGTACAGTGGGTTCCCAGCTAAGTTGCCACTGATTTTTTGACTTGATGGTGTGAAATAAAGGCACTTGAGTTTGGGACTGGCAAACTCTGCAAAACTGTTTACTTCTGTTTAGGAGTTAATAATACTTTTGCTTTCTATTTTCTCCAGGAAACCTAAGATTAGTCTGAGTGGATATGATGTGATGGACTTGATATTCTAATACTGGTTCAAAACACATTAACTGCAGCACAACTTTGTAAAATTGACATTTCTGGAGTAAGACACATCAGTATTCCCAAATAAAACACACTACAATATATTTTTACAATATTTTTTGTGGAAAATATTTTCTTGTGGACCAAATAAAACTCAACTTACCATCTGCTTGTATGCCTTTTATTTGATAAAAATGCACAGATTGGACAGAATCTTGTTACCATGAGCCTGGGATATTTCCTGTTCACATAAATTTTGGAGGCAACTGAACATGCAAGTCAAAGTTTATGAACTGGGAAGTATATTCTTGCTAAAACCTTGTAAGTCCTTTACAGTCAGAGAAGGCATGACCCCTACTCCCTGGGAACTATTGTGTTTTTCATTAAATGTAGTCACTGAAGACTGCTCCTTTTGTACAAAAATAATGAAATTAACCAATCTTTAAAAAATAAATTAAAAATAGGCATTGTTTAAGAATGTAAAACATATAAAAACTTTTAAAAATAAGGGGGGGAGGCTTACACTTCTTACAGAACCAGCCTGAGGTAGAAATTCAAGTCATATTTTCAGAATTACCCTAAGGGTATTAATGAAATCTCTCAAGTACATTTGGAAATAAACTCAAGGACATAACAAATATGTCCATGGTAACATTAACTCTCAGCTGAAATTTTAACAATTTTATCTTGAAAGATTATAGCAACAAAGCAAGGTGCCAATTTTTCTTGATTTTGCTCTCCAGTTGCTCACCTCTGATTTTTTGAAAGTCACTCTGGTAGTTCACCTTGCTGCCTGAATTTCCTGGACTTTGTTTCCAGGCAACAGCTCCTGGAAAGGAAGGAGCCTTAAGCCATTGCAGACCATAAGTGTTAGTAATAAAAACTGCCCAATGTTGAAAACTCCATTATGGTTCTGCTGTAGCTCTGACTTTTTGATTCCCCATTGCTGGTTACTGACTGTGTTATCTGAACAGAAGTTTTCTTCCTTTAGCCTCGGTGGTTCACCATCAGAGAAGCCAAAATCTGTTATTTGTGACCTGCCTGTAATTGTAGAAACAAGTAGGAAGAAATACTGATAATGTGATTTGACAAACCTTACAAAAGCATGTAGGAGTAATGTTGAAGAAAGATTAGTAGCTGTGTGTTGCACACACAATAGAAAAAATAATCCTCCCACCAAAAAAAGATTACACTTTATCAGGGGGCTCTGGTTATGTCATATATAACTTCATGCATTAGTATCAGAACCCAGCAACCTTTAATGCACAGGAAATGTGCTGCTTGGTGTTCACAGAAAGGTCTGAGGCAGTAGTTTCTTCAGCACTGTAAGACCAAGAAAAACTTGCAAATTTTTGCAATCATGAAAAAAACAAATTATGGAGTTCAATCAGACTTAATAGCATTTTAAAAAATGGGCTCTACAATCAAACAGAAGTGTGCTCTAGGCTCTGGCAATATTATGACATTTGAACAATGTTTAGAGCACATAGCAAGGCTGAATAATGACCAGATGTTAAATCAATAGAATATTTTCTTTTTCTCAGACTAATAGTATGTCAGTCTGAGCTTTAATTTAAAAGGCTATTTAACACCATGGATTCTGTCCTCCACTTTCCTTTGTAGCTCTGACTGTTTTAAAGCTTTAAGTATATTTTATTTTCATTGTATGGAGAAGAATCTGAGGCCCAACTCCAATTTAACAGATCAGTGACAGAACCAAGAACACAAGAGGTCTCCTGACTTCTTGCTTATTAGGTCACCCCTTAACTGTGCTCTCTTCCCCAAGGGCTCCTCCTAAACTAAGAGTTGATGCAAAAAAATTAAATGTTAATCATTGTGTAAAACAGTAAAAATAACAATTTGCCTTGAAGTGATTTTTCCCATTACTAACCAGAGATATTTCCTCATTATAGAGAATATTCCTGAACGCAAAAAATTAGCCTTGTGAATGTCAGGCTAGTTAAAAGAGTCTTGTCAAAATTTATCACACTACTATTAATTTTTATATTACAGAATTAGAGCAGATATATAAGATGTCAATAGGCTTCATCTTTACAACTTGAGATCGTCGTTTCCCAATGGCTTAAAACAGTTGTCCACAAATTCATCACTGACGTCTTCTAGAGCAGGTGGCTTCCATTTTGGGGATTGGTCTTTGTCAATCAGCACTGTCAGGTGGAACAGAAAGACACCAAAGTTACCTGTAAACTTCCTCTAATTAAAATGAATTAAATTAAATTAAATTAAAAAGACTGCGTCAAGACAGATCACTGCAGTGGTTACATGGGGGAGAAAAATCACTGTGCTCTGGAGAAGGCAGAGTTTTTGTAACATACATATTTCTACTCTAATAAAAACTCTTGAGTTGTGACCTGTCTAGAAACATATCTGGGAGTTGCCTGAAGATACAAGGAATGGTGAATCACTTCAGAAGTAGTCCAAGCTTTGAAGGAACAGACCTGAAAATAGTGGTTTCTGTTAGACCTGCCACTCTTCCCTGACATGTTTTTCCATGTGAACCTGGGAACAGTATCTATGATGCTCCTTTTGGACAAGGCTTTTCACACCTCTGTGCAAAATCTGACTCTTTGGAGAGTGTAGGAGATGCCTCAAAGTGCTGTTAAATGCCTAAAGCTAATTTAAACACATTGTGTAAACTAATAATAAAATAATTCATGATGAAAGAGTAAAGCAGAGTACCTTTGTGGGAAAACCAAGAATGATTATTTGTAAATACTGTCAGATACTGCAGATCTGTGTAGATTTAACTGTGACAATTTGAATAATCTGATTATATAGACTTTATGCTGTATCCTGGGAAATAGATCAGTGAATGAATAACATATAAAAGTATAACAAGAAAATATCAATTCCCAAAAAATATTCCTTGTATCAGAGGAAAACTGAAGATGTCAGCAAGAACAGCTGCACTAGCGAACAATAAGAGGGAGTTAATTTGTGTCTAAAAATGATCAATATGAATGGAATTCCAGAACATCCTTCCAATCACCTTTTGGGCTTTAAGAAACCCATAAAGATGCTATTCAGAATGTGAAATTTTTATAATTTAAAAAAGAACAGCTATAGGAACTGTGGCTCTCTAGGATGCACTAACTGCCCAACATCCCTCACAACGCAAATTCCCTTCAGGTGAGTGATACCAGCAACTGATTTGGAGATGCACCTGTGTCCTGGGAGACCTCCTGACCAACACAGCCCACAGCACTTAAGAGAGGATGGGCAGGAAGAGGAAGCACCTCTCAAGTTCTTCTGCTGAGAACAGATTTTGTTTGTTTGTTTTCTGAAAAAGAGTTCTAAGTAGGATGGTTCTAAAGGCATGTAAACAGAAGACATAGAGACCCCAAAGTCTGAAGAATAACAGCTGGTTTTTTTTGGTAAGTTGTCATGTCTTTCTAAACAAACTTTGTTCTTACTGAGTAAACTAGAAATACCCATGATGAGAAATGTGTAAAGGGGTGGGATATTAAGTTCAGTGAAAATGCCTACCTAAAGACTGTGCCTTATCAAAACACATGGCCTGTTTACCAGTTTTTAGTAAAAAATGTGACTTGAAAACTTCTCTTTAACTTTTCCACTTTACCCAACACTTGAGAGTACCTAGAAAATAAATACCATTCAGATGACAACTGCACTGATTAATATTTTTGTAGCTGAAGACATACAGGCATCATAACTCTTTAGCTTACATTTTCAAAGAGAAAGGCAAATCAGAGCCCTATACCTGTTTACTTACAAATAGAGGACTAAGGACTCCCTAGCAACAATAAACACTAATTTTAAGAAGCAACCAATTATATAGATAGAAGCTGCAGTTCCACAGAGAACAGAACCCATGTGGGCAAATACAGAAATGTCCTGTAGAAGAGTGATTTTACTATGTTATTTAACTGAGTAACTTGAAAAACTATGATCCTCCAAGTTAATTCTAAACATGGTGATGTGAAACCATTGATTGGTTTGGATCAAAAGGCGTAATTGTCCCACTGGTGTAGGACTTATCTACTGATTTTCTTCAATTTTAGTTGAAGTTCACAATCTGGCCAAAATAAACTGTTATCCACGAAAGCCAACACTTAAAGGAAAAAAGTCCATGTGTATGTTACTACAGCTTCACCTCTGCCACACTGTAGTGACTGCTGCTAGTTCTCCACTCCAGGGAACTGCTGTCTCACCAAGTTCATCTTTCTTTGGATTTGTGACCAGTTTTACTCTGGTGGATAAACTGAATGCTCATAATGGTCTCTCCAATTAAGTCTTTAGTCTTATAAGTTAAATTAGTCTTATAAGTTGTTTTCTAGTACCATCATGAAAATATTCCCTTTCTGCTTTAACTTCTGTATGTTCTGTATTTCTCCAGCTTGCGATGGATCACCACAGGGATGGAATAAAAATTCTGAAGACTTCTGAGGTAGGCTAAGTTCATTAATATAAAAGTAACTGAGCATAGACATTGTGTTAAGTGTTTATTGTTGTGCTTTACCTTTCTTAGTAAAAATCCCAAGCCCCTCTGTTCAGTAGCCATGACTTTACCAGGCTTCAGTTGGTGTTGGTGTTGCTTAGCTTCCTTCAGCACAGCCAAAACACTGATATTTCTAAGCCCCTGAAGTTCTCTCTGCCTGCTGCAGGGCCCTGGGGTGCCCAGGGTAAGGCTCACATCTGCCAGCTCTGCGGGAGACGAGGCAGAAGCTGTACAGAAATAACGTCTCTGCAGCATCAGCAATATGTGGAAGACCTTTACAGTTCCATTTCAAGTGCACGTTCCTGCACAGTTAGGAGGGGAATTGAACAGATTTTTGTCCCTGAGATTTGCTGATGAGCTCGTACTCTCCCTGGATGTGTTTGAGCACAGACTCCAAAAACAGCTTTTTCTTAGGCAGTAAGAATTAAAAAACAGACCTATGCATTTCTTAGTTTACCTCTTGTTTTACAAATCAAGGTGAAAAACTGATACCTATAATGTTCAAAGTCCCCATTTACCATAATGTGGGAAAATGTTGATGAAATATGATTTATGTGGTTTATGCTTTAAGGCTTTAGCTTTTCTTTAATAGCTCCAATCACAATAATCATAAACAGGGAAGGACTGTTTGCCACAGCAGATTTTAAGGCTGAAAAAACTCGCTGAAAGAAAAATGAAATTCTGACCTCAGGTCAAAGCAGGTTTAAAAAGCTTTTAAACTACTTTCCTAGCATGCCTATTAAAATTATGGTTTGAAGCAGATAAAAGCTATTATTAAAGCCTGACCTTTGGCCGTTGCTGCTGAAAAACAATCTTAAACTAAAATTTGGTTGTTTTAATTCAACATTATTTCGTGGTAGATCCTTTTGTGGTAGACAGGGTCAACAACTGGCTCTTAAATGCTTGAAAGGTAATGCTTTAATAAAGAAAAAGCCAATACATAACACTTTATCATTTTTGTTCACTAGGTTGATCCTGTGAAGTATTTAATAATCTCACTTCCTATTAAAAAGAATGCTCAGCTCATTGTTGGATAATGATTTTTATGAAATTAGACCCAACTACAAAAATTATCTTGAGTCAGATTCTCAAGATCTTCTCTTAAACAAGAGAAACAATTCTAAGGCAGAAAACCTGAGAACAATACATATGCAGTAAGCAGAGAACAAAAGTGCTTCAAGAATGAATTAGCAGTAGTAGCAGTATTCCCCTCGGTGCAGCTGGATCTCTGGTGGGTGGTTTTGGTTTTTTCCTTCCCCTGATACACCTAAGCTTTTGCTACATCATCCTGTGCAAAAGAAAAGTTTCCCAACTGCTGTTCTTGCAGCCTCTTTCTGTACAAGCAGTTTGTGTATTTGCTGGCCAACTGAAGGGGATTCGCTTTGTGCTGTGCTACAGTCCCGGATGGTTTCATGACCTTGTGCCTTACAAGGAGGAATTCAGTTTGGTGTTCCTCTGACTCTCAGACTTTTGAGTTTGTCACTTCCTGAATAACTACATTGCAGCAGCTTATATGCCAATTTAGAAAATATCCTAGGAACAATCTTTTTAAGATCTCCTTGTCGCCATTACCAACACTATGAACACCACGTGCTTCTCAATGTGTGTGGTAAATTCTTCAAAGGAGTCTCTGCTAGTAAGTGCTAAAGACTAATTAATTAAAATCAGAAACTTTTTCCATGCTATACAAACCAACTTTGTGTCTCTCGCCCCAAGCTATCTTTAATACAGTGTAACTAATAGCAAACACTCAAACACTAATATCCATTTCTCAAGTGGATTTTAAACTACTTTATAAAGATAGATATAAAAAATGAGGAGGAGGTGATAACACATACTTGAGTATATATCTCTGTGAATTAGAAGTCCAACCCAAAAGTTATCCATCCAAATGCCTTGTACCGTAAGCTCCTTGGAAAATGAAATGCCTGTGCTCTATTTCATCTTGTACTGAACAGTACATAAATAATTGCTACAGTTCCTAACAGATATGTGACTTTGGGTGTGACAAACTGCACAGTGAATCAGCAGGAGGATCAAGGACGGAATTGGAGTCTGTCCCCCAGATGAACTTGCTGAGCCACTGCTCTACTTTTACCACTACCTACCTTGACCAATGCCTTAAAATGCTGAATTGTTTAGCATTAAGTTTACAGATACACTTTTTTAATAGTAAGACACCTCTATACTGAGATCTTTTGGTACATGGGGGGGAAAGTAAGTCTCTGTTCTAATGGTTTTCTAGGCAAAGAGTTGTTCTTGACTTTGAGTCTTAAACCATCTTATGGCTGGCTAAACCAGCAATGTGGCAATGTTATTGTGGGCACAAATGATACACGTAGCTACTCACTACTGTCAGTGTTATATATATTTGGAGCTTTCACAATGAAGTGGTGAAACCAGGTGGAGAAATAATGTTAGGAAACTGAGATTACACAAAGGAAACAACACAGCTCTTGTGCTTTGGAACAAATAATAAATTTTGGCCATACAGGAGTCCAATAAGCAAAATCTGTGGCAAGATGGGAAGCATTCTCTGGGGTGTTGCTGCATGCACTTAATCTAGTTTAGAGATTACTACTAAACTAGTAATCTCCAAAGAAGCACGACAGTAGTGGATTTGCATGTTATTAAGTTTGAAAAATGTTTCTGGTGTGCATTCTTACCTGCTCGAACCCCTTCGTAGAAGTCCTGGCCTTTCTGAAAGATTATTAAAAAAAAACAAAACACTTGTAACATGACAGATTCAATCTGTCAATTTTTCTCATCTCCCCCTACCCCGCTTCTGCTTGAAATGCAAGTTCTCAAAATTCAGTTAAATCCTGCTTGTACTGTTCTTTTCTAGGCTTTCTCTTTACTTATTAAAGAGCTCTACACCTCCTTGCTTAAATGCAGCCACGTCTCTTAAAATCAGTCTGTTGAGCTGTAGCTGATCAACCAGTGTTCCCACAGTGCAAGTCCTCTCTCTGTGCTGCATCTCTTTTTCTAAAGAGCTCTGCATGATGGGGGCTAAGGTGTGTCAGATCAGAAATTCCTCTGAGAAAAGCCACTCTTCAGGAACTGTGATGTATTCTGCATACTTGGAACACTTTGCAGTTAAATGGAATCCTGCAAACATGCAGTTATTTTTTGATAAAGGTAAATGTAAGACTTAATCCCTAGCAGTGGAGCAACAATACTAGTTTCAGGAAGGCTATGGCAAGGATACTGTCAGGCATTACAACATATCAGAATTAGATAGATTTTTACTTCCAAGCATTTACTTAAATCATCACAAGTCACTTAATTGGATATATAATATATATTTTAAAATGTGGCAAGACTAACAATAAGGCTGCCATGGGGAAGCTTTATAAGGTATTTGTTCAGGTAATTCAGTTAGCAGCTCTGTTCTACTGAAAGGATCACTTTCTTGTGTGTTATCCAAGTACTCAGTCCTTAGTGCAAATACTACTAAAATCTATTGTTGTCTATGAAAAAAAATTTATCACAGCACTCCTGAAAGGCAGTGATAAACAACTACTCCCATCCTTCTGCTGGGAATTGAGGCACTGAGGACTAAGTAATTTAAACAGAAAATCTGTTCAAGAACACCAGTTTTCAAATTATGGTCCAAATACAAAACTATCCATATATTAATATTTTCATAGTTTTTTAACAGAAGCCCTCTACCATTCCCATCAGACCATCATTAATGTAGTCTCCTTCAAGTTGCATATAAAGCACACAAAGATGGTACTGAAAATTAAAACTTATAAACTATGATCCCTTGATGTAATCTGCATAAAACCCAGTCTCTGATAAACTGCTCCTCCCCTGAGGCTGGCAAGGGACAAAGGGCACAGCTACTTGCTTACCATGCACGCTTGGCTTAGTCTGTATTCCATCCTGAGTACCTCTTGCAAGCTCATGGAAGCTCCTTCTCTGAGCTGTCTGAGAGTCAACTTCAAGGATGTAGGTGACATCTTATTAATAGTCTGGGGAAGACATTAATAGTAGTTTTATTCTGTTCAATTTAGACACATTTTAAAGTCTGCCACATTTTAAACTTTGTGAAGTAAATGATGGCATTCTTTTCCCTGAGTTCATTTTTGTCACACCTATTCCTCCTGCTCCCTCCCACCATGCTGTTACACTAAATGAACTTCCTTCCATAAACTTTTATCAGCAAGAGCTCTAGGATGTGTAGCATCACTCGTGGAAAGAACTCCTGAGATCGCCTAATTTTTTATCAAATTACTACTAACCAGAGAATCTAATGCAGTTTGAAAGCCATTTCCAAAACATCTTTTGGTTAAGTGAACGTGAGCGCTATAAGCAATTATACTTCACTTTTGAATATCATATTTATAGTCTAAATTGCTCTTAGATGTTACTGATATTGTAGCTGATATTGGTATTGCAGAGCACTTCAGTTTTATTTGGTACAATAGCATCATAAGGTAATCGTGAGATTGGCAACAAACTTTACTAGTTGCTTTGAGAACCTTTAAAAAGACTACACAATATGAAAAGAAGAAAATTTCGGAAGAAAAAAATATTAAAATAAATCAAACATAAATGCATATTTATCCAAGCTGCTTATCTGGCATCAACAGATACTGCAGTAATTTAGCCCTACATTGCTTTGTTGATGGGAAGCCTGGAGGTCTGGCCTCCCTTCTTTTGACAGAACTGCAGGCTATAAATATCACCCAACACACAGGATCTGTTTAAGGCACACAAACAAATGCTGGAAATCTGGCTCTCATGAGTATCCTTCGATTAAGAGCATGCCAGTCAACAGTAGGGGGAAGTGGGGAGAAAGACAGAAACCTAGTTAAGAAAAAAGAACTGAGCTTTAAAGCTTTATGGGTTGTGGGGAAAAGGAACTAATTCTTATCGTTGCTCATCTTTTTTTCTTAAACAAGACTCTTCTTCCCTGTAAATCCAACTAATAGCTCTTTATCATTCACAGTACAATAGACATTTCCTCATAATTAGGACATTTTTCCCGCTACTGAAAAGCGGCAGATGGTAAGATTTGCCTCTTTACATTATTTTCATTGCAGACATTAGGCTCCTTACCACAGACTGAAATGGCAGGTTTCCAGTCATCAACAGTAACGTTTTTGCTAGCTTCCAATTACCCTTCATCCCTCTCCAGACACCAGCTGATACAGCAGTGACCCATTTTGCCTAGTTAAGCTGGAAAATATGCAATTGCTATACAAGCAGGAAGCTGTGCAATTGTGCCTTAAAGGCACTGGTTCTGTTGTTCTGTTGCTTGCATGTTGACCACTGTGTTTAAGAGAGAAGCTGGCCAAGGAAGAGCCAATGGTGGCTCCCAGTGCCAGCTGTTCCTGAGTCCTGGTCAAGCACTCTAACAATAAGCTGCCTTTCAGCAGATAAAGAAATCTGCTACACCTCTCATTACATCGTTCTGTAGTTCTCAGATGGGTGGCAGCTCTTCACTGGTCACCTTGTTGCCTGTAATATGCTCTTGCTGGCTTTACCTTTCAACTGGACCTTTCTACCTTTGAGTTTCACATTCTGTCACTGAGATTAGGCCAGGCTAAATGGTGTGCACAGTACAGCCAGATGGTTCGATGGTGAAATGGCAATGGCAAGTTCTTTCTGGTCAAAGAAAGCACTGGAATGGGGAAGATCTGAAAACAGCACTTAAGGCAGCTGCTGGATGCCCTAGACTAGTTATCCTGGTGTATCAGTGAGGTTGAAGGTGGAGGAGGTGCTGGTATAAATCAAGCTGAAGGAAGAGGAACAAGGCAAGAAAATGGGTAGGTGTAATTGCAGAAAAATGAGTCACCAGTGTATCTATAAATAAATTCTCTGTACAAAAAGGAGGGGATTGGTGCTAGGGAACAAGCCTGAAAAAGAGAGAGGATAGGCTGAAGTGGGGAGTACTAAAATGCAAAGAAGTCTTCAGAGGAGTATTTGACATCTGATTCAGTATCTTTCAGACCATCTTGGTTTTGTCATAGTGATCCCAAAAGCTACAAGCTGAATTTACAATAGACCTGAATGCCAATAAGGTACTATCAGAAGGTGACTGAATTAAGTGGCAGTGGCTCAGTGGAGTCCCTTACAAGATTAACAGCAGGCATAGTGACTTTCTTTCACTTAAACAAACAAAAACCTCCCAGAGGCCCAATACTTCACTTCCCTTGCAATAGATGAAGATACCCATCTCTTAATTCAGTTTTTGGTTTTATGAATCTTTCACAGAAGAAATTAAGTATCTGATCCTATAATCTCACTTAATCCTACTGTTTAGCACAGAATGTATACTGTTAGAAACTTGTCTGTAACATGTATTTGTTGACACTAATAAGTCTTGGATCTGGAGAAAATGTGGGATTTGTTTTGTGGGGGTTTTTCCCATGAACTTCTGTATGGACTGAAGCAACTCATACTAACATAGTCTTATCTCTTGAACACAACAGACAATTGTTCAGAAACTTTGGTCAACTCCAAGGACATTCATTTATGGATCACATGAAAGAAAAAAGCTGCTATAAAGTCCTATTAAAAACATGAAATAAGAAAACCGAAGAAGCAGCATTTTTTTGGTCAGGAATAAAAAAAAATCAGTTACACAAAACTGTAACTTTGAAGTAGATGATGCGGTTTTAAACTATTTATTTAAACTACAACTAAAACTATTAAACAAATGTACCCCACTAAACAAGGAAAAGGAACAGGGTTGTGTGGTTTTGGTTTGGATTTTTTTTTTTTGGGGGGGTTGTTTTTCTATATGTATAATAAGGCAGATCTGAGTTATGAGGCTGCAAATGAAGGAATAAAGTTGAGCAGGTTTGGGTAACTATGGCAAACTTGGCAGAGCAAACCATCTAGTTAATGTATTTCAGTAACAAAGTGTTTCCAGACACCTTGTATCTTCTGTAGTAGAAACTGTATTTTGAACAAAACACCCTGTAAGGGCTATAGGCTATTTTAAAATAAATTCCACTAGGTCTGATTGTGTTTTAAAGTGACATAAAATTGTATGAAATTAACTTAGGAAAAGCTACATGCAAATAATTCTTGATGGTTTTCAACCTCCACTGAACCTGATCAGTATAATACTCCTGCAGAGTTATATCAAACATTATAAAATCTACAAATAAAATACTGTCTTTTAACTCAATACTATAAAGAATAAGAGCCACCAGAAGTGACTACTATTAACATGCTATCAAACTGTCTCAACCAACCTTACTGTAGTTACTTTCCCTGCTATCTATAACAGAGGGGAAAAAGTGAAGAACTGAATCACAGAGTCTATATGGGTTGAAGGAAAATGGTACAATTCAGATTTATAAACACGTAAAATTTTTATTTTGGCACCTGCTCATTTTACTGCTTTACCCAATGAAACCTGAAAACAAGGGGAAAAAATGAGCTTTCCCTTTTATTCAATTTTGCTTTTATAATACATGTGCTAAACTTCTTGCAGTGTACTAGGCATAATGGCTGGCACAAAGATAATGCTAGAACTTCCTTTCTCAAAAACCGTTTGACAGTTCCAGTGACAAAGTGTTATATCTTTAATTAAAAACTAAAAAGTAAAGTATATCTATGACAGGATGTCTAATGTTAATGATACTACCTTCTAAAATTCCTTCTGCTCAAATGAAGGTCAGAAGATGATGGCTGTTTTATTTTATTAAAAAAGCAAGATTTCTTAATGACACTTTTGTTGAAGAAATGCTAGAGTTCTATCCAATTGTAACTAATATTTCACTAGCTTGAAACCAAACTTTTACAAGGCACCTGAATACAGATAATTCAAAGGAAGAAAAGAAAATACACACATTATTTATAAATGAATATAAGTTGCTTCTTGCTTTTGAGGCTGAAGTATGAATTCTGTGTAGTATTGCTGTACATTTTTGGAGTAGTGACTATGTGATTCTGTGAGCAGTGACAGGACCTGAGGGAATGGTCTCAAGTTGTGTCAGGGGAGGTTTAGGTTGGATATTAGAAAAAGGTTCATCAGCCAGAGGGTGGTTGGGCACTGAACAGGCTCCCCAGGGCAGTGGGCACAGCCCCAAGGCTGACAGAGCTCAAGGAGTGTTTGGATGATGCTCTCAGGTACATGGTGTGACTCTTGGGGATGTCCTGTGCAGGGCTAAGGGTTCGACTCAATGATCCTTGTGGGTCCCTTCTAGCTCAGCATATTCTGTGAGACATCCAACACTCAGGAATGCATTAAAAAGATCAAAAATACTTTGTGATGATAAATTTTTTTGCTCTTTACCCAAATGAGGTATCTGTAATGGAAGAAAAAGAACAACACTGTTCTGGCTCCGTTTTATTCCAACCCTTGGCAATAAAATGAGAAGCTATAAAAGGGAATGTTTGTCCCCCACATCCCCTTGAGGGGGAAAAGGGAAGGGCATTTTGGATTTTTACTAATTACAATTTTATGCACCACATGACAATACTCACATTGTGTAGTTTTACAGAGTTTTACTCTTGTCTGAACAGCACTACTGAGAATCCCTCAGGACAATATGGGAGAACCTGAGGATCTCAGTCCAGTGTCCTATTGCTGTTATGCAGTATTAGTTATGTTAATAGGGTGAATAAAGTCTACCCTACGATAAGAAAATACACACCCAAACCTAAAATTTTTAACAAAAATAACATAGAAGACATTACCTCCAGCTGCTTAATGGCAAAAGGAGAACCATCTTGCTTTAATTTTTTGACAATTTCTTCCATGCTATTTGCTGAAAAAAGACTAAAATTAAAATAAATTAGTCCATGAACTGCTTCAGCCTTCCACTTACCTATGAAGGGTGAGTAGCACTAACATTAGAAATAGTGTAACCAGTTGATTTGGCTTTTCTTAGCAATGTGTTCCATGTTGTTCCCTTTCAAGTAACTTGGTTGTCAGGCATCTCCTCTCCCTTTACAATTCTCTAGTGTTTCATAAACCTCACTCACAAACTCTTTTATCTATAAACTTCCATTACTCCCATCAGTCTTATCTGTATTTTTATTGCACATCTAGCCCTTAGCTATTAGCTCCGTTCTACTGGTTTGGTGTCAACATCTTTTGTCTCTAAACCTAGTTACTGCCATCCTTCTTCAAGAGTTTTAGCTGTTTCTTGTCACTCTCACTTATTATTTCTCCTTCCTTCTCTGATACACAGAAGTTCCAAGCAGTCATAGAAACGGCCTTAAATCAATGAGTATAAATGTACTATGTAACATTCCCTATTCAACTTGACAATTTCTCTCACAAATCCCCATCCAATTTCTATAGGAAATGTTCATTCTAATGTGCCATATGGTAGTTGCTTAATATAAGGGTGCATGACTCAGGCCAATATGCTCAAGTACTTAATATACTGATAAGTGAAATATTTAATGAGCTTCAGATAAAGCTCTCTAAAGACAAAACAGTTATTTAAACTTGGATGTCATTTCTCTCACCTTACCTGCAGAATACTGTTACTTGATTTAACTTCACGTTCTCTATCCACAATAAAAAATGAAAAAAGATTGCTAAATACCTGTTAATCTTCTCCATGTGCTCATCAAGTACAAACTTCTTTTCTTGATCAACTGTGCACTATTTAAAAAGCAAATACCTGTTTTACTTGGTTATTTTAGACTGAAAATGTTATCAGTACTGAAAAATTTCAATGCCTTGTGTTACAGAAATATCATAAATGAACAGTTAATATTCATAAAACAGTGACATTTTTAATGAATTTTTATACACACTGAGTTTTGCAGTGTGTATAAATGAAATTGTCACTTTATCCTGTGAATGTTAAAGATGTTGCCTCATAATGCAGTGCTTGCTCTGAGCTCCTATGTATGCATATTGGACTGGGTGGTTATCTTGTACACAAGTAATTCTGATTATTCTATCAAAACATTTCTATAAAATACACTAAGGAAGTCAGTACAGATAAATCTACCCAAAAACCTGAGATCATTTTAAAAAAAAGCTTCATTTTCTTAAAAATATTCAGGGGTATATTTAGGCATTTTTAATGACAAAAAAAAAGGCATTTCTCTTCCTTGTCTTTTCTATGACATTTTACAAAATTTTATTTAGACAGCTGAAGTGTGTGAAAGACCCATTGGCCTTTTGTGGAAAGGCTGTCAAATGTCTCACATCTTCACATTAAGGGGTTTAAGACATAAGCAGATGTTTCAGGATCAGCAGCTGAAGCTGAGAGAGATTCCCTGTCATTTCAGCTCTGATAACTAAAAATACACAGCCTCCTTTTCTGTATACTGCAACATATAATCACTCCTATTTCACAGCTTTCTATTTTGTGAGAATAATCAGTAGTGCTAGGTTAATTAGCTTATCCCATTTATTTTTCTAATTAACCTTAATATATTAACTCAGTAATTCCGAAATAGAAATAACAGGAGTAGACACTGCTCATTTTAAAGCCAAACAAATTAGTTAAAAACTAGTTAAAACACACTAGAATTGAACAAACTAGTTTAACTCTAGAAGTTTTCTTTCTCTTGAAATAAAATTACAATGCACATCAAAGCAGTTAAAATAGCCTCTGATTGTAAAGCCAAAACCTTTTGGTTTTTTATGCTCATTGTTACACAGCCCCAACACAAATACTAATTATGTATTAATACAGTTATATTCACCTCCAAAATCACAACAGAGCACCATGCATGGGTTAGTCCACTGAGAAAACAGCATCTTTCTCCCCCTGAAAATATTGCTTTCAGGTGCTTTTCCTACAGTGTATCTGCCAATATTGATCCTATTGATAACTGCTGTGCTTATTCAGTCTTTCAGTTGCTTCAAGGTTACAAACATATAAAATACTCGAGAAGTCAAAGGAACAACTTAAGCCTTTAAATTCAGGCCTCAAATCTGGACTGCAGATGGTCTGCATCAAAATAATGCTAAAATTTATGTCACATGCATCAAGCTAGCAAGACATTTTTCAGGTTGATATAGAGAAATTTTCTGGGATGGAAATACAGCATCCCTTTCCAAGTGAACAGTGCAGCATTTAATGGGCAGAATAACTTCTGCAGCCTCTGGATTAGGCCAGTAGTTCCACCCTTGTCATTTCTATTTGTCAGAATCCCTGAATTTCAGGGTAGCTCCCCAGATCACATTTGTCATCATGTACAACCTCCAGTCTGCTCGTGGCTATCTATTTTGCCTTCTGCCAAGTGTGCTAGAAATCCAAGAATAACAGGGGGAAAATTAAGCAGCAATGCATTTTCTGCCTCGTCATGCTACTGGCTGGAAACTGAAGTACACACACAGAGATTGAGCTGATCACAGCAGGAATTTTTGGGGTATCCAAAATGAATAAACGGTGAAGAAGGACTTTTCAATTCTGATTTTGACCACTGTAGGCATTAGTGTTACAGATTAGTATTTTATAAAGGGCAAAGAGTTTGGGAATTCATTATTTTCAACTGTAAAAAAAAAAATTATCAGTAGCACAGACAAAAAAGAATGTCTTTATATATAACAATTTTGCTTGATTTCAATAACTGATCAGATTACCTTCTTGTGGTAAGAGTTCAGTAAGTCTGCTATATTTTCTTTTGAAGGCGATTTCAGTGCTATCAGGTCTTTCTCTAAGGCAGGTAGCTATTAAAAATAAGATTTAATTACAAGTAAGTAAAACAAAATCTACTTGAATTATTTCTGCTGGTGCTATACTACTGGTAATAGTAGTATGCACGTATAAAAAACACCCCCCTCACCCTCCCCAACTTTCTGACAGATCTTAAGGAGGTACTAAGCAAACAATACAAGGAGCCAGAATTCATTTTTCAGTGTTGAACCATCTGGATTTAATTATGTCTGCAGTGATCAGCAAAGAACTCTTCTTCCCAAGCAGACCCCCAATGCAGTGCTACAGATGCAGCAGGTAAAGCAAGGCTACACCAGTCTCAGAGGAAAGAGCAGGAGTCTGGCAACAATGCTATCCTCAAAGCAGTATTTTGCCAGCTCCACAGTGACAGTCAGGAGTCTTCATGCAGAGAAGGAAAGCAAATCATTGTTTTTCCTTCATTTAAGTCCACTCCAGTTACTCTGACTTTATGAAACACCTTAATTTTTACACTTCCTTACAGGCACTGTAAGAAACAAATACCTGTTAAGCAGACTGATAAAAACCACATTAATTTAATGGGGTTTTACCTTGATTGAAAACTCAGCAATTGTATAAATCTCTAGTTTCATACACAATTGTCTTGAACTGTAAAATTTTGTAAGCAACTTCCATTATGCTGAGTAGATCATGCCCTTCCAACAGCAGAATTGTGAAGACAACAACATTTGCTCTTTCCTCCAAGCAAAGCTGTCGTTATCTGGCAAGTGTTAGAATGACAGCTTGAGAGTATCTTACCGTCCCTGTTCACAGGGCATGGCCAGCTAATATAACTGTGCTGCTGCAGACACTCCAGTTGGTAAAAAGTATACTGGGGTGCTAAACCCTCAGACCTGTCATGGTGGTTGTAGGCTGTGCCCCTGCCAGCACTGTTAGCATGTTACCTTTTCGGATTCTACAAAATGTGTAGCGATGCCAGCTTTGAGTACATCTCTTCCTTTCAGCCTGTATCCTGTTAGTCCGAGGTAATAGCCAACCCTTCCTGAGAGCCTTGGCAAGAAATACCCTCCACCTACATCAGGAAACAGGCCTGCAATAGACAACAAAAACAGAAGTGAAGGGAGAAGAACTTGTACTGATCATCACTTAGTAGCTACTTCTTCTTGTCTGACTTTCATCTCCCTGACAGGCACAGAACTCTGATCGAGTTTCTCCTTGACTTGCTTTGACATTTCTCTGTCATCAAATCCCTTCCTAAAAGCAAACTCTCAAACACCTTCCAAACTGCATCCTTTCCACTAGCACATACTCTACAAATAACTACCAAAAAATAGTATTTATTCTATTTGCCAACAACTTGAGATATTTTTAGGTGCTTGAAGGATCAAGTGTGTTCTAAGCAAAGAAACAGAAGTGACACGAAGAATTGTGAAATAATTTGTGCAAACTTGAACTGGATGCTGCTTTTTCTCTGAAATCTTTTATTATGATAAAAATATCAAACAGTGATGGAGTTCCTCTTGCACAGCTTAATTTGAACAAATTTTGGGGCTGAGAATTCAATAATAGATCAAAAATATTGACAGGGTCTTCCTGAAGGTGGGGGTGCAAGAGGCTGAGCTGGTACCTGGCTCTTTGACAGGACTATGACTAAGCTGAAAGTAAAAAAAAAGATTTTTAAACTTTCCGGTTTAGTGACTGTCTTACATGTATATATTTTTTAAATCAACAGATTAGGGTAATTTTTTAAAATTTAAAGTGTGAATAAAATTTAAAATACTTTTAAAAGTTGTAATTGAAAGATATCTACCTTCTGTTATATACATTGATCACCAAAACAAATTCAGACGCTTTTTGTAACAAACCTAAGAAAATTTTAGCTTAGCTGTATCAGTTTCAGAAATCTGAATGGATAGAAGCAGTGTCCAGTTACTACTTTGAAATCATCACCAATGGTACATTCATGACACTGAAAGTCTTTTGAAGAAATGAAAGGTGTGGTGGTGTTTTTTCACTGTGAGAGGAAAAATGAAAAAAACCAAAAATGAATACAAATGAAAAAGAATACAAATGAGCAGTAGGAAACTCATAAACACTTGCCAAAGCAGAGATATTAACTGGGAAAATTCAGATGCACATAAGGAGTTTAAGTGCAGTTCTGATAGAAAGTGGTAATTTTTCACTTACAAGCAATTGCTTTCAGTCACAAAAAGAGTCAGTGGATGTATTATGGAAAAGATCCTATCACAGGTATTTTAAGATGTGGGAAATCAGTGATCCTGGAAAGGTCCTCCCCGTCAGACAGAATTGAGGGGAGGTTTCTTTCAGACAGCTGCTCTTCAGTGTTTTCCTCTTAACAGTCTTAATATCAAACCCCTCTCTCAGCTTCTCCTCTGATTCCCTCTTGGTCCTCCCTTTGTTCTGCTGCTTCTAATACAATGAAAAGATGGTTTTAGGAGTCACTTCCTATCAGTTAAAGTCGTAGTATTTTACTCCCACCGATGTGTGTGCTGTCATTAATGGATTTATTCTTCATCCCACAGGCTACTGAGACATACAGCTCTTCTCCTGAAATGCTGAATGCCTTGCTGACACACTTTAAAAGCCCAATTAACCCCAATTCATCACTCACCTTTTTCATCTGTACTCACATTCTCAGTAGTCTGCTCTACATTTTACATTCTCATTTTGAGCCATCAGAACATTGATGCCAAGACTTTTATTTAGTTTTATGTTTCTATTCATCTGTCTCCCCTTGGATATCCTACTACTGAAAAAAAAATTCCTCATTTCAAAGAGAAACCTGACTTAAAAATGCCCTCCAAAGTAAAAAGGCAATTACATTATTCTGTCCATCCACCAGAACTGCAACAGTAACAATCTTTCTTGGTTTTGCTGTAATTAAATTAGAATAATACCAATGCTGGACCACTGTTCTCCCCATGCTCCAGTAAAATTCTAGAGGAAGAGACATCTTCCTACTGGGATCCATAATGCCCTTCCACTTGACCATACACAGGGAAATCCATTCTAAATAAACTGTGCAGTTGATTAACTTAAGTTGCTTCAGAGGAAAATAAACCTAAATTGAATGAAGGTTTAATTATTAAGGAATTTACAAACAGGATTAGTGAAGATGTAACTAATCCACTTTAAACTTACTTGGTTGCCTAAACACAGTCTGCTATAGCTTCTGTATCTTTTTCAATGTCCCTGTCTTCCATTTTTCTTATAATTTTACCCCTCTTGTCCGTGTTCTACATATTCCTCTTAATTCTCTCAACAATGCTTCCCATATGTTTCTCCTTGCCACTGTGGTTCCCTTAATGTGTTCCACTTCTTTTGATAGTATTTACCAGTTATTTCTCAAATTCCTACTTGAATAAGAGAAGAGCTGTGTTACTGCTGGACTGACCAGGCTATAAGCCTATGCCTGTGGTGCTGACTTGCAGTCTGTGCTCTTTGCTGTAATCCCAAAGGTGCAACTCTGCATTTACCAAGCATAAAATAAAGGCAGTGTTACTGCATTCTTACCTTGTTGGTAGAGGGGGGTGGAAATTTATTAGTAAATGACTTCTAGAAAGCTAAAAACTTAGGAGGGATATACATGAAAGTATCCATTATTAATATAACATTATCTCAAAGCCCACCTCTTACAATACTTCCTTCTTTTGTTCTTCTCACTACTAGTTTTTCCACACCCTCCCACATCTAAGCTGCTTTCCAGTGCTTTGTATTATCTGTGTCAAACTCCTACAATCTCCAACTACCTTTTATTTCTATTTTCAAAGTGGCATATTTATCTCTATCCTTTTATTCACGGTGGTGTATAAGTGCAGAATAATTGTGTGAAAATGTAGCAGCTGAATGAATGCTTTGTTTTCATTTCACAGCAAAGGTGTCATGCCTACTGAAATAAGTGAACACATGAAAAAATCAATCCAGTGTCTAGAAAGCTAGACATTTTAAGAGAACACACAGAGATCAAAAGAGCTAAGCCTTTAAATCCAAACAGATTTCAGTGGTTTTACTTCTAATTGATCCTAAAAAGGGTTTAATTACTTCCTTTCCTAAGCAAGTTCTAAGCTTTTCCTTTACATGTCTTCACAGTCTATTTTTGTTTAAATAAGCCCTTGGCAACACAAGAAATGTATGTAAAGAACAGAATTTTTGTTAATATAAAACTACTCATATCTTTACCTTTGAAGAAGAAAGTGAAGGTACTTTCATTATTAGTATAATTTTATATGTCAAAGAACTTCTCTGTTTAGTTTTTAAAAAAAAAACAAATACAAACTGTTTCCTTCAAATGGCTTTCATGTACAATAACTGATTATGAAATTCAGAGTTTAGCACATTCATGTTGTATTAATGCTTAAGATATTTAGTTTACCAAGTCTTCCTTCAGCATAAAAAATAGTTGGAGGTCTGCAACAGCTTTTGCTTTTCTCATCTCAAATTTGCTTGTTCAGAAAAATTGCACTAGATTTATCAGCCAGCACAAATCGCTGTAATTTTTTTTTTCAGGAGTTAAAATGATAATGAGCTTCCTTATATTTGGGTGGTTTGCTACGCTTTATTTCCCTTGACACTTCCATCAGGAGGGTTGCCTTCAATCTGACTGACTTTTCTTGAGCCGTACCTCCATCTTCATGTAGCTCTGAGCTACATTTTCTTTTGTACATCTCAGAGTTGACAAAAAAACTGTAGGATCAAACATTAGAAAACACAAGAAGCGTGTTGCTGTTTAAAAAAAACAGACACTACTGAAGACACTGTGATCTCCCCTAGCCACAACCTCTGCACAACTGTAATGGGCCTACATTAATAATCTACAAGAAAAGCTGGAATTTCAAAATCTGTCTCATTAACACTGCAGAGCAGCTGTGTAGTACAGGCAGTTGGACTCACAGAGTCCCCAAGGTAAAGCTGAAGTAGCTGCACTGGGATCTTCAGACTCTATCTGCCTACATCTGTAGCACAGACTTAGTTCCTTGATCTGCTTCTGTTTCTGAAATATTGTATCCTGACAGTCTTTGCATCAGTCCAGACAGTTAGGAACCTTAATGATCAACTCCCAGAATGTAGGTAAGTTTCTGTTAATTTAATAGAAAATACTTTCCATATATGGTCATCTCCAGTTCTCTTTTAAAATTCTTTCATTACCACCACAGCTTTCAGTCAAAGACGTTTCATCCTGATTACACAAACAGTGAAACCTTAGACATATTAACACGTGATAAAATGCTTACCTATTGCTGTTTCTGGCATTGCAAAAAGTGTCTTTTCTGTAGCAACTCGAAAATGTCCGTGAATTGAGAGGCCAACTCCCTGTGCATGGAGCAAAGGACACAGTTATAAAATTATTTTTACCAGTAATCATAACCCTGTGTAACACACCTCTTGCTTTGCTCTACCATTTAAATAAAAGTAGATTTAACACATGCGTCTCAAGAAAATATTAAAAGAAATAATAATTAACTATTCTTCTAATGTGATAATTACCTATGTTACAAACACAGAAGTGTTTCCCAAATCTTCGTTGGCAAAGCCTAGCCGTGAAAACACAGAAGTATTTTAAACAGGAAAAGCCTTCAGCATTACTGATTAAAATTCAGAGTATGTGGTTAGAAACCCACTGTTTAACCTGAGCACTGGTGTTCACCAAATCAGAAATGGAATTCACATTATTAAGTATCTAGCCTTCTTCTCTAGCAGCCTGTCCTGATGAGACACTTCCCTAAAAAGCAGAAGAGTTTCTGGTGGTGTCTGTCACATATTTTCTGATTTAGGCAGTGAGCAGCAGCAAGGCCCAATAAAAAAAGTATTTTCACTTCACACAGAATTAATTTAATTTAGAAAAATGTTCAAGAGGCAAATTGGCAAATATAAAGAAAAATGGTAATCTGACAAAGCTACTACTACTCAGTAATAATATTTGAAGTAATCCAAGTATATTTAGATTACAGAGCATAACCACAACATACATATTGAGGTCTCACTTCTCAAAGCTTGTTTACATGATACATGTTGATGGAAATGCATGTTTGAGTGTATCTGGAGACAAAAACCTCTACTGAATATTTCACAAGAAGTTTCTTCATACAAATATTATCTTTCTCTTCCTTTCCACTGTTTACTTCTGTTCCTCAGAAGAGAAGTTAAATTTCCCTTGGTTAAGTCCTTCTACCTATACATTTTTTTATGTTCAAACTAAGATATCTTAAATATCATTGGCCAAAAGAAGTCAGTGTCTAAGAAATAAGTGCTTAAATACTAGAAAAATAATACTTTACCCACCTAAGGCTACTGGTTTTCATAAACATCTTCATGCATTTCATACTTTTCATCAAAACCAGTGGTATTAATTGGGTGATATTCTCTTGGGCCAGCAGTATATATTTGACAGGCTTTTAAGGTGAGAGTAGAACATCTTTTTATTTTTCTTATTACAGAGATCTTTGGGTGGGTTTTACATTCAAATTTTAAAAAGTTATCTCAATTTAATATAAATTACATTCATTTCCTTCCATGGCCTCTCTTACAATTCTGCCCAGCAAGAAATTAATTGTCACTGTTTATTCCATTAGGGTCACACACGATTAAATTTGAAAATATCTTTGATTTTTTTCTGTAAAATGAATATCTGCCAGTCTAGTGTTTTAATATAGGTGTATGAAGTTTTTAAGATTCCAGTTTAATTTCCTGAGAAATGCACCCTTAAGGCAACTGGTTATCATACTGGATTTTATATTCAGAAACTAAGCCAAATGTGTACACATGAAGTACTGCTTTTCCAAGGAGGCAAATGGGATTTGAGCAAACATCTGAATCTTATTTGCACAGGGTACCATGTTCTGTCTCATCCTTATCTGTCCTTCAGCCCTTTCTCTTGAGGACTGGTCAGAGGCTGCACATCTCATCTGAGCAGCACCAAGAGCAATGCCCCTGTGTTCAGCTCTCTTGCAAATGCAAAGCTACATGTAAAGCTACATTCACTCCTAGAACAGCTCCAAAAGTCTTAAGTTAAATGGAAATGTGACTTCATAACTTCCAAATGTCATAATAGCATGTTTTCACTGCATTTAGTAAGGCCTGTTGTTATTTTCACGCATGTTCAGCAATAGTGATGACCTTTATTTATAAAGATAATGAAATTAAAAAATCATGCCCATTATGCTCTAATGCTTAAATTAATTTTTGTTCTAATCCCATATCTAAAAACACGAATACCATCTATCATAAAGCATTTTTTCTGGCTTATTTTCTAGATAGTCTGAATTTTTTGTAAGGACTTAAATTTTTAGCTTGAGTATTAAGTAACAAAGACTCGAGTGTGAACTCCATAAAGGGAGCTTTTCTTCCAAACTTGTTCCCTTTTTTTTTTAGAGTGATAAAAATAACTGTAAAGTTTTAATAATAGAAAGTTGAAAGATGTAATTTTCTTTTGAAAGAAGTAATTAAATCAGATTTCATTTTCTCAAGTGCTTAAGCCATAATTGGATTTGTTTTCTAGACAGCCTTCAAAGTTTTATAGTATAGATAACAGCCTTATTTTAGATATATGTTTAAAAGATTGAAACTATATTTTCTTTTTATCCATTATAAAGAAAGCAGTGCAAATATGTCCTTACTTCTTTGAAGATCATTTCTAAATAATCCAATGTTACAATAAAATTAGGAGAGAAAATGAGTTAATGCTTTGAGGGTACAAACCCCAGTAACTTATTTAACTGGTGATCATCATATGCTTTTTTTTGTTTATTTGCAACTTCCCAAATCATTAACATATTCACTGTATGTGTCTAACCTTCTAGATCTAATACAGGTGACAGATATTTATTAGTTTAATATACTGTAACCCTAAACTCTTCCAGTCAGAAGTCTAAATGCGTTCCTCCATTTCTGGATTCTCTAATTTTTTTTTCTTTAATTTAACTGAAATCTTACATATGTAGAGTCCTACCTAGGAGGCCCTTCACACTATTAAAGTATCTGCAGTTGGGCTGTGTTCACTTCACCAGATAGTTCCAGCATTTACACATACAAGGCTTGGTGCTATAATGTCTTTATTAAAATACAGTATATCCTGCTTTGTCAGAGTCCTACCTTTTATGATCTTAAAATATATACTGAAGCTAATGTCTTCCTTTTGACTTTTCCAAGACAATACATTCTCGTGGTGAATCAGGCTTGTACTGGCTGGGAACTTTTTTTTCTTCACTGACAGCTGAATGTTTGAACTTTGTAAAGAATAATTAAAGAATGAGCCTAGAATTTAAGGAGAATTAAGAAATGAACAAGCAACCAATTCAAACTACTGGGCTGGTTTTGGCTGGGATAGAGATAAATCTCTTCACAGCAGCTCCTTCATAGTATGGGGCTGTGTTTTGGATTCTGCTGAAAGCAATGTTGATAATATGGAGATGTTTTTGTTATTCCTGAGCAGCACTTGCACAGGGTCAAGGCCTTTTCTGATTCTCACCCCACCAGCGAGGGGGCTGGGGGTGCACAAGAAGTTGGGAGGGGACACAGCTGGGACAGCTGACCCCAAGTGACCCAAGAGATATTCCACACTCTGCTCAGCACATAAAGTGGGGGGGAAAAAGGAGGAAGGGGAGATGTTTGGAGTGATGGTGTTTGTCTTCCCAACTCATCATTATGTATGATGGCTGGAGATGGGAAGAAGTGAATTAATTCCTTGTTTTGCTTTGCTTGTGTGGGTGGCTGTTGCTTTACCTATTAATCTTTATCTCAACCCATGAGGTTTTTCACTTTTACCCTTCCCATTCCCTCCCAATCCTGCTGGTGGGGGAGTAAGCAAGCGGTTCTGTGGGGCTTAGTTGCCAGCTGGTTAAACCATGACAACTACCCTTCTGTTGGGTTTATTTATGAATTAATTAGAAACATAGATAAGAGCAGAAATGGTGTAAACATCTGTTCACATACAGAAAAGTAGACCCGTGTCACAGCAAAACCACACATCACACTTGTCTATTTACTAAACAACCAAATCAGACTATGAAGGAATCACTGCCTAGGAAAGATTAAGTGACAGAATAAAAGACACACAAACAGAAAAGGCCTTCAGGAATGTTGCTTGTGTCACCTTCACTAGGCTGATAAAGAATTTTTAGCTGTTCAAGCAAACCCCTGTCCGATAATACCGATATTGATACTGTCTGCAGCTAAAGTCCTGTTGTAACAGTTCCATCCAGTGATTGCACTCATTTTTAACTGCATGAGAATACAGTTCCTGGTAGGGCCAGAGCCACAAGAGAAATGTGGCAATCAACAAACAAACTGAGCATAAGACAACAAAGGGCAAGTATATTTGCATACAGATGTGAAAGAATAGCCAAGGTGCAGTAAAAATGTTTTCCAAAGCATTAGTCGGCAGCACAGTGAGTGAGTGGAGTTGATTCAGGAAGCAGCAGGAGCTTATAGCTATGTTAGATCAAAAATCATGGATGTAAGAGCATTACCCCCTGCATCCAGACACAACAAATCTTAAACTGAATAGAAATTAATCTACGTTCATCATTAATGTTATGGACCACTCCAAAGAGTATAATCCATTTTTATCTGGAGATACTAACAGAGAAGACAACATAGTGAACCAGAGCAGTGCAATGTAACAGATCAATCTGGACCTAGAATATCATTTTCTTTGGCTGATGACACGTTAATCAGTTCTGTGCAAGTATTTAAAAAATACCATTAAAAACCAGTGGGGTTTGTGAACTTTTCAATCATTTAGTGTGGTATTTTAAAACATAAAATATTAATGTAATATGATTAAAATATAAAATATTAATATCCATATACAGATTACATATTAGAGATTCTCAGTCCAAATTCCTACAGATACATAGAAGCACAATGAGTTGACTGGAAACAGATTATCTGTAATAATACCTGATGTTTCAGTCCTGTTCTTCTGACCCCTAAGTATTTAAACAAACTTGATCCAACTACTTTAATAGTAATCATTTAGGTCAGCTTCTTCTTCTTAAAGTGAAATTTGGGGGAAAAAATATGTAGGCCATTCTGTGCACCAATGCTGTCACAGTGAGTGTCCTTTATCAACAAAAAAATTTAGACTGAATTTTTAGAAGCCCTGGTTTGATCTTTCTGCTACCAGCCTGAATTTATCGGTGATCTCAAACTGGTTTTACTAGGCTACTTATCATAATCTGCACAACTTTTTATGGACACAAAACTTGTGCTGCAACAGAAAGAAAACAGAAGATATAAGACCTAGATTTGAAAAGCCCATAGCAAAAGTAATTAATTACTGGCAAGTGCAATTTTTCCTAGTGTTAAATTTG